AAAAAAAAAAAAAAAAAAAGAATATCCCATTTTCCACTAAATCAATTGCTATTTTTCGACTTATTCAAATGGAATCTTACCTCATGCACATGATACTCGTGCTAAATAATAGTCGCCTAAAATCCAAAAAATAATGTAAAATCTCTTACTGGTGGGCTCCATGAAAACGGATCCCGGCCCACAAAGATACTCCTAAAATTCGAGTCCAGAAACGAATATTCAGTGATGAACAACCATAAGTCGAAGGGGGGCCCAAATAATCGCGTGTAGTACACGCGAGATTAGAGAGATTGGAGTAAGAAGTATTCCTTTGTGGATGCCCTTTAGAGCGCCCGAAAGGGCAATGCAAATCTGATCCGCGCATCCTATCCTACTTAAAAAACGACGGATTATTTTGTACTGGTTTGGGAGTGGGCCCCGCGGCCCGCGTCTATGTCACGCTCCGCGGATAGATTCCCATGATTCTTCTTACCTTTCAAGTGTGGGTATAAGATATAATAAGATCAAAGTTGTTTGGTTATAAAATATTTTAATTTTATTCAATTTTTTTGGTTTGATATGATTACTTTTTTAAAAAATTTGGTATGGTTAGTTGTTCGTGAGATTTTAATTTATTTTAAATTAATATTTATAATAAAATATTTATGGTTGATTTAATGTAAAGTAGGAGGAGAGATATGATGTGAAATGATAGATAGATAGTTAAAATTATGTGAGTAGATGAATAATGAATTAAGGTTGATGTAACGTGGAAGAATAATTAAGTGATATTATATAATTATATTGAAAATATTGAAGATAGTAAGATTGAATTAAAGTTGAGTTAGATTTGAGTTCATTGAGCGACAAGTCTTGAGAATTCAAGAGAAGGTCACGGCGGTGTGAGCCCCTTTAGTCTGAATTCGTTAATTCAGAATGAATCAAATCTCCCCAAGTAAATGAGTGATAGGTTAAAAATGATTATATTCAAGCACTTCTTAATAATTCAAATTAATAATCGTCTATATGAACGTATTTGTGCATTTTATATATTTTTATTATTACTAATTATGTGGATGAAATAATGTTGTACAACTATAATAACATTTATCACTTAGTAGCATTATAATTTTTTTAAAGTTTTCTTAATTATTATATAATAACTTTTAAGTCATATTACATAACAATTTAATATATAAATTTATTTAATTAATAAATAATTTTGTTATTTGTCAATTAATATTGATGTATCATTTATCTTTTATTGTAAAGGTATCTATCATATTTATTTGTATATTCAATATAGATGTCCAATCAAAAACCTTTATGAAACGACTAATTTGATATATCATAAAGAAAAATCTGATAACAAATACGAAGTTACTTTATCTTAAATATATTTATAGTTTAAATTGATCTGTTATATAATTTTAATGTCTTAATCATAATAGTATGGATAGAAGTCATATCTACTTGCACTACTACAAAGTACGAACCAACCACATAAGATTATCAATCACTGAATTTTGACATATAGGACTAGCATTACACGTAGGATCATCATGACATTTTGCAATAATATACAATGACACATAGAATTAGCATAATAATAATAATAATAATAATAATAATAATAATAATAATAATAATAATAATAATAATAATAATAATAACTTAGGGGGCGATTGTATTTAAATTGAACAGTAAAAAATCAATCAAAAACTCAAATTTAACTCAACTTCACTATAATCAATATCATCAATATAATTAAATAATATCAACAAATAATTCTTACACATCACATCAACTTCAATATAATTCTAACTAATTATCACTTCCAATCACTTTTTTTCCTACTTTACATCAAATCAACTTTAATTATTTTATTTAAATATATTAACAAACAACTAACCATACCACATTTTTTCAAAATTAAATGTTAAAAAACAAACCAAATAAAAACTAGTTCAATTCATAAACAATCACCCTTACTAAACAGAGTAGTAAAAAATTTTGGTAGCATTTAATGCATATATTTTTTAGGTATCTATATATATATAATTGCTGGCATATAGCATTTAATAAAACATTTAATAAAACCTTCATTTATTTTCCCGCTCATTTTTTCAATTAATGTAGAACCGTTACATTTTACATTAATAAAGTGTAATCATAATTTTAATATAATTTATTCACTACTAACACTAATTGATTTCAACTTTACATTAAATAGTATGTGGAAGTTATGCAATTTTTTTCTTTAAAATACTTTTTCTAAAATAAAATATTTTTGTTCTTTTTAAGCGATTTTTATATAATTAGTTAATTGGCATGAGTGTCATAATTAAACACCTTAAAATCACATAAACGAATGATATAACAATGATAAAAATAATTGTAATACTTTTCTAACTAATTAATGGTCTCTCTAAATTACTAAATTATATTAGCCATTAACATTTATGGCATCAATATAAAGATTCATACGTAAGTTAAATAAATTATATTCACATTACACATTTGCATGTAGTCGAAATTTAAAATGTAATACATCAATTATTTAATATAAAATTTGTATATATTGTATACATAAATATAATATATAAATTTTTATTTTTCTTTGTGCATGTGCACAGGATGAATACTAGTTTTTTTAAATATATGCATTAATTCCTTTAATATACATATTTTTAAAATAAGATTAGATATGATAAAAAATATTGTTCCTTTAAATAATTTTATTGATATATGCAATAATTTCATTCCATTATAATAAATTACAAAATTAATTTTTCGAATTCATGTTGATAATATTTTGGTCAAGATAACTATTACAACATATTTTAAGTTTTAACTATAATATAAATTTATTTTCACAGATATTCACTTTTATCCAATAGACGATAACTCTATTGCTTTGAAACTTAAACGGACAAAAACTAACTCATTTAGTATCTATGTCTCGTGCATCGCACCATGACATTTTGCATTAATATATACTAGGGACTAGGGATGATTGTTTTATTATTTGCTTTTACCACAATCACAACTAATTATTATTGTTTTATTATTTGCTTTTACCACGAATTTCCACCAATCCTTTTTCATCCAATCAAAAACTTTGTTCAAATCAAAACATATCCAATACTACCCGGTAAAGATCTCAAATGAGGTAACAAAAAATTAAACAAGAGTACAAAAGCCATTGTGTTGTGGATAAGCTTGAAATTTGAAAACTTTGTGGACACAATTTCAAGAAAATCTATCACGGTTCTTGCATATAAATCATATGGAATCACTTTTCACCAATTACATTTTTACCTTCAAATCTAATTTAAATTTAGTTCAATATAATTTGACTCAATATTATTATTATAATTAAATAATCTCACACATCACATCTAATATTATGTTAATATTAATATACTCATATAATTTTATTTATACGTCACTTATAATCATTGTTTTTCATACTTTTACATTAAATCAATTTTAATTATTTTATTTTAAATATTATTTTAACACGAATTCAAAATTTCACTCAAAATCTAACTTAACCAATATTCTTAAAATTAACTCTAATTAGCAAACAAATTTAAGCAAAACTTGAATTGATTTACATTCAAGAACAAAAGCCAAGATTTGACCAATGATCGACTTTTTTTTTTTTTTTTAATTAATAAACCATACGCACATATAAGCCCTCATAAATATGTGTGATTCAAATGTAGAGGTGAGTAAAACTGAGCCGAAATTAAAAATTGAGCCGAATCGTGCAATTCGGTGCGGTTCAGTTTTTTTAATGTATAAAATTTTCGGTTCGGTTCGATTCTTTTTTTTTTCCTTTATTGCGTTGCAGTTATGATTTTCATAAGTTCGGTTTTCAGTTTTGTTCGGTTCGGTACGATTTCACCGAACCACACCAATTTGCATAAAAGTGTATATAAAAATTGAGATAAAACCGAAAATCGAACTGAAACATACATTTCGGTACGGTTCGATTCAGTTAATTTAGTGTATAAAAACTTTGGTTCGATTTCGGTTCTATTTTTCTAAAATTGTTGTTCGGTTTGGTTATTTATTTGGCCAAGGTCGGTTTTCTATTTTTTCCGATTCGATACAATTTTTTCACCGAACCGCACCGTTGCTCGCGTAATAAATAGAAAAAAAAACCCTTTTTGGGGTACAAAAGGGAAGGAAAAAAAAATTGAGCGCACTCAAACGCCATTGGTGATATTTACCACGCAATGACAAAAATTGTCCAAAGGGATGGAGAGGAGATAATAATTGAAAAAAAAAAAAACAAAAAAATGGTTGATCTTATCCAAAGAAAACAAACAGATTGGGCCCACATATATACGAGAATCATCTCTGGAATATTCAAACCCCTCTCTCTTTTTAAAAAAAAAATAAAAAATAAAAAATAAAAAATCAACAAAAAACTGACGTTCAATCCAAAAGATTCGTCTTACGCGACGGCCCGACCTTGGCTGTGCCCTCTCTCACCACCGCTTTCCTCTCTTCTCTTTAAAACCCTTTTTAACATTTATCAATAAAATCACAATAAAAATTGAATCTTTTTTTCCTCTCCAATATATATACTCTCTGTAATCTGATATATTTTATTTTTATTTTTATTTTTCTTGTGCACAAAGTTTGTTCTATCTGTTGATTCAGCTTCAGATCCCTTCAAAATAGCTTCAAGAATTAATAAAAGATGGTGATTAACGGCCTTAATCACTGCCTTTTACCGGAGAATATGCAGAGATGTCGGGATTATTTGCAGTCCTTGGAAGAAGAACGCCGCAAGATTCAAGTTTTCCGACGTGAACTCCCTCTTTGCCTTGAACTCGTCACTCAGAGTATTTTTCTATCACTATTAATACCCTATTTTTTGTTGTTGTTTATTGATGCATACATTTTATAAAAATGTGTTCTTTTTTGTTTTTCTTGAGTGTTTGTATGTGGAGGGATTTGCAGACGAAGTGTATTTTTTTTTTTTTAATTTTGGTTTTGATTGATGGGTTTTTTGGTGATTTTGGTATTTTGCATAGAATACAAATGGGTTATGGAAAATGGGTTTTGTTGCGGTCCCGTCGCGCAACTATTTCGTCGGGGTTTGTAACCATCAACTATACAGATCCCGACAGACAGACAGAATGGTTTCGTAACGGGATTGTAGCATTTCCATGCTATTTTAGTGGTTTGGCTCTTTTTGTCACTTTTTAGAATTTCAAATCTTCTTAGTTTTTTTTTTTTTTTTTATGGGTTTTGTTGTTTTATTTTTCTGGGCAGCCATTGAATTATGCAAGCAGCAGTTATCAGAGACAACAACAGAGAGCAATCTAAACAACGGCCAATCAGAAAGCCCCGAGGAGTCGTCAAGTGATTTGCCTGTCTTGGAAGAATTTATTCCCATCAAGAGGGCTTCACCTCATTCTGATTATGATGAACAACAACAGCCTAAGAATTC